TAGGGAGTCCTTGTTTTATATAGAAATACATTGGAAAATTCTTCTTCTCAAGCACCAGTGGGCCAGGAAAGCTGAAACTTAGGTGGAATCATCCTGGGGTAGTGTAGATTCTAAATTACTAAAATAAAAAGGGGGTTGGGAGGGGGTAAGGTTCACAATAGATGTAAGAAGAGGGGAAATCTGGTAATAAAAGAACTGCATCACCAAAGTTACTCAGGTGAGCGATGTGGCCCATGGGCCTCTTGTTAAGCATTGAATAGATTACTTGAGTAAAAATAGTTCGTGGTGATTATTTTGTAATAATTTGTACCAATTTGTCAGGGATTTAAAAATGTAACCAAGGATGAGGATGCTGTTGAGTACATGAAGAAATTTGCTGATGAACTTCAGAATATTCAGGGAAGAGAAGTGGATAGGATAGAGAGACAAATGAAAGTAAGCATAAATCAAGATTACATGAAATTAATTGTGAAAAATTTATGTATATATTTTTATTGAATTCATTATGTAAGTTGTAAGATGTAAGTTCTTTTGTTTTTTAGGGATCTTTTCATTAAGTAGATTGATTGTATGTTGTTTAACGTCCCATTCGAGAATTTTTCACTCATATAGAGATTAGATATGTCACCAGATGTCGATGAAGGGCTTCAAATTTAGACCTATACTTGGCACTCAGGGCTTTTGAGCAGTGAGGGTTCTTTATTATGCCATCGCTACCGTGACATAGGACCTATGTTTTTAAGGTCATATCCGAAAGACCCATGACTTTCATTTCTAATGCTGAGTGCCTTGCAAAGGAACAGTCACTCCCTATGTTTATGTCCTAGATTTGACGCACTACCACGAACGAGAATCGAACCTTGGCCTCCTGATCATTATATAGAAAAATGCATTTATACTATGAAAATCTTTTTTGCTAATGGGTATTAAACAAAAGTACTAAGTGCATGGGTATTATGAACATATATTGCAAATTTCTATCCCCAGGGCCATATGTTCTTGTGTAAGGATGGGGCTATTTTGAATACATATAGTTAAAAGGCATTTTCCTTTTGAAAATCTTTTCTTCCTTTGGGCTTATAGAAAGCATACAGAATTTTTAAAATTGTAATTAACATGAGTATTTTTACCAGATTTGTGAAATTCTTAACCATTTGATAAATTAATTTTTTACTCTAAAGAAGTTATTCCCCTTTGCTGCTCATATAAAGGAATGTTTATAGCATTTTATGCAAAAGATACTTTTACAACTTTTAATGGTCAGGTGGACTTTTAAATCAAGATAAATTTAAAAAACGGAGCAAAAGAGCCTTTATTATTGTTGTCGCTAAATGTTCATCAAAGTCTAATAGAGGCCATTTATGAGAGAATTAGATGGGTTTACTAATAGTACTTATGAACTACCATAATTACTATTGTTATGTTTTGTTTGCATGGGGATAGTGTCAAATGGGGGAGGGGTTGGATGGGGGTGGGGGCAAGTACAGGAAAGTAAATAACATTTGTTAAAGAACGTTAAAGTATTTTGCTAAATTCAGATCAACCAATTTCTCTTGCTTTTGGGCAAAACAGCCTCATGTATCAGGTTATTTTGTTTTATTTTGTATTTTTTTTTTTACAGTGTTACATTATATGCAGGTGACTGCTAAGGCCATAGGGCCTTTTCCTTGGTTTCTATTGTGAATGGGAATATAAAGGATAGTTTAACTTTGGTATTTCAGACACTGATATCTCAAAAACCATGCATATATCAAACTGCTTAGGAAGTCCTAAATCACCTATTCATAAGTATTTTACCCTTGATATTTTGCATCCCTGGATAACTTGAAGTTATATCTCTGATTTATGGAGTTTGATATAACAAGGTCTGACTGTATATTTAGTGATTAAATCGATTGATCTTTTTCGAACTGTTTCTTAATGTTTCAGGCAGAGTTTGAGGGAAAGTACCACATAAAATTAAGACATGTTGACCTGGAGCCATTATAATGTATACTAAAGATTAGTAAATCAAAAACTGCCAGTGATGCAAGTGTCTAGTCTGACAATAATACAAGGATTTTAAAAGGAAAATGTAACCCAAAGGATTCATCAGAATGACTTTTTATGTGATAATTTGCATACAAGTATTATTTTTTAAATGTGTGATTTTTTCCGTGGAATGTGAGGGATTGCAGAATTCCATGTGACTGTATAAAGGACTAATGTGTGTATAAATGACTAATGTATAAAGGACTGTGCAATTATAAATATGAAGTTTTCTTTTTTAAACTCTAATTTTTACATGTATGGATATTTCTTCCAATATTTAAAAGTTGCACATACATCTACTGTAAAAGCGCAAATTTTCATGGAGATAAAATTTCGTTGATTTGTCATGTAAAACAGATTCATTGGCATTTAATTTTGTTGTTTTGAAAGTAACATTTTTTGGAATACTGTTTGTTATCTCCATATCCTTCTTCCATGAAAAAAAACCCTATTTCCTTAATAATTATGTTAAAGCCGTAATGTATGGGAAAAGAAAGTTGAAATTGATTATGATGTCATAATGGATCTAACATAAGAAATTAGTCTAAAGCCATTTACTAGATTTTGACATGAAAACTAGTCTATAGATGAACAGCCGTGCTATATATAATTATACACATAGAAATTTCACATTATTGATGAATATTGGTTGGCCAAATAAGCAGAATTTTACTAACTATTATAGAACGGTTTCTGGTAACTGTGATTGCATGATAACAGTTTGACGATTCGAGCTATTTGCGATGTATTCCTTTGTTAAAAAATCGCAATTTGGTACACAGTAATACTATTACATGCATATAGGTTTCCCCGAGATTAAAATGTCAAGTTTATTCACATAAACCTGTTAAATACGTGGAAAATACCTTAAACTTCCAAACTTGTCATCTTCAAGAGATATTTTGTTCAAAAAAAACTTTAGAAGAAAACATCAAATCACGCACGTGTTCTCCTTTAAAATCTGTTTATGGGTGTGTAAAAAACACTCTTATTGGTCAAAAAAAAATATTACGTTTACATGAAGTATATTTTTCTGTAATCATTCTTGACTTCCACTTTTGGAAATCGTGAAGACCTGCTGTATATGTCTAAATAGAGAACAAAGGTACTTGGGTCTTGGTCTTATAAATATGTATGTACCTTAATGATATGTAAAAAAAAAAACCTTTTCTTTACATATCAATAAGGTACATACATATTTATAAACCGAGACCAGGGAACAGGAGGAAATTAAAAAAAAGCAATAATGGCGACCTTGTTGTTCAAGATAGTTGATCATTTACTTATATTTCGTATTTATGCCGGGTTATCTTTTGTAAAAGGTATGTATCCCACATAATTATTTTGGGGAGAATTTTTTTTCTAAGATGGGTCCGTTCTTATTGACAGTCTTTTGGTTGTATTTACTTCCTCGAATTATATAGATAAGAACAACTTTATAGATTGAAGACAAGTACTAGTGTCAATTCACCTGACTGCTTCATCGCCATTAGTTTCGGTGTGGAATGGCGACCCGCGCTCGTGCAGGTTATCTTGTATTACCTTTGTTTACATTTTATTACGGCAACGCGTATTTGTGTTTGTTTGTAAACTGCACTGACCAGTGCAACTGTTGTAAGTAGTTTCTTTCCAAGTCAAAGGATCAAATTTGTTGGTACCGAAGATAGGTCTTGTCACAAGGAGTATTGGACCACAGAAAAGGATTGATTGATTGATTGTATACTGTTTAACGTCCCTCTCAAGAATTTTTCACTCATATGGAGACGCCACCACTTGCCGTTGGTCTCCACAGTGGGATTCCAACCCGCGACGAAAGGATCAACTCCTTACCTCGCAACTCTAGAGCAGACACTCTAACCACAGAAAAGGAGGTAAAAAAAGTTCAAGAACTAACCATTGAAAGTTATGGACAAGGTAAATGTTTTTGAACAGTGTGCTGAAACTCAAGGTCAAAAGGGGCAAAGTTATTGATGACCAAGGCAAGTTCCAATATAGACATTTGAAAATTGAAAGCCCTTACAATAACTGGTCAGAAGTTACGGACAAGGTCAAAGTTTGGTACGATAAGAAAGATCTTGTCACAACTTCTAAGTAATACACCTGTGGAGTATGAAGGCCATAGCTTAACCAGTAAAAAGTTTTGGGCAAGGTTAACTTTTTTTTGCGGTCAAACGGAACAAACAGACGGACACACCGCGCTACAGGCGGATGGACAGGGCAAAAAGTATGAACCTTTGAGGACGATTTTTTGCAGGGATGAATGTTTTCTTTATATGAAAAAATTCTCTTATCAGAGTGATTTTAATTTCACTAAAGGTATTCAATGTATATAATGAAAGGATTTTGATCAATGTTGAAAATTTAAACTAGTTAATTAAAATGCATTGCTAGATAAAGTGAAATGAAAGTGAAATTTTGCACATTAAAAGTTTTTAACGAATAAGATTAATCTGCCTTTGATGAATAGAAGAATTTTTGAATTTCACAAAATGTCTGTAGTAAATGATTTATTTTATTTCAATTTCATTGAGAAGAACATTATGCATATTTTCACCAAGAGATTTGTTTGAAGTTCAAATTATTTTCTACAATATCTTTAAAACATTCTGTGCCCATAGGTTCAATGTAATATTCAAATAGCAATTATTTAAAGAGGTCGAGACCACTAGATTTTCTGACGTCAGCATAAATTTGCATGTAAATTAGCTATCTGTTTACTTTATCCACTGATGAATGAGTCGCAATGCATTGTGGACTACTACAAGTACTAAGCTGTGTTGAAAATAAAGGCCAACTTGAATTGTCCCTTGGAAACTTATTTTCAATTCTGTTTTGAGATTTATGGAAGAAATATTTAAAATTAGTATAATCTTTCATTTCTATGTTCACATTTACAAAATTTGCTTTATGAAGCCTTATATCAACGTATAATACATCGGCCTAAACCAGTGTTCGAAGAGACGTACAAGTAGGTGCTATCGTGTCGATAGAGCATTGAGTTTTTTTTCACGTGATATACGTGTACATAGTTTTAGACAGCAGTACAAGGTGCGCTATTATTATTTAGCCCCTAAATATTATCAAGAAGTTTTTATGTACATGCAAACATCAAAGCGTTTTCACCATGTTCACTTTATTCGAATTTCGAAGCAATTATTAATCTGTCTATCTCTCGATACTACTCGCCTTCAAATTTTGAGTACTCTGAGTAAGGTGCGCAGCTGGTTAAAAGATATAAAAAAGTAGAGAAAAGTAAATTTCAATGCGGTGAAAAGGGAACAGTATTAAGTTATTAGTGAAGATAAAAAGGTTAGAAAAACAGTATTCACAGTTAAAAAATATAAAAACACTATAATATAATTAAGGTCTGTGGTGATTCAGTTTGCTCACTTCCAGTTTGAAATGTTCAACATCTGGAAGCGAGACAACACTGCCTGGCAGTCTGTTCCACTGAACTATTGTCAGAGGGAAAAGGGAATATTTATACACATTTTTAGCTCACCTGAGCCGAAGGCTCAAGTGAGCTTTTCTGATCACATTTTGTCCGTCGTCCGGCCGTCTGTCCGTCCGTAAACTTTTCACATTTTCGACTTCTTCTCAAGAACCAATGGGTTAATTTTAACCAAACTTGGTACAAAGCATCCTTAGGTGAAGGGGAGTTTAAATTATTAAAGTGAAGGGCCAAGTCCCCTTATAAGGGGAGATAATGAAGAAAAGACAAAAATAGGGTGGGGTCATTAAAAAATCTTCTTCTCAAGAACCACTAGGCCAGGAAAGCTGAAACTTATGTGGAAGCATCCTTGGGTAGTGTAGATATTAAATTGTTAAAATCATGACCCCCGGGGTTTGGGCGTGGCCACAATAGGGAATCCAAGTTTTACATAGAAATGTATAGAACAAATCTTTAAAAATCTTCTTCTCAAGAACCACTGGGCCAGGAAAGCTGAAACTTATTTGGAAGCATCCTTGGGTAGTGTAGATATTAAATTGGTAAAATCATGACCCCGGGGGTAGGGCAGGGCCACAATAGGGAATCCAAGTTTTGCATAGATATATTTAGGAAAATGTTTTTGAGAATCTTCTTCTCAAAAACCACTGGGCCAGGAAAGCTGAAACTTAAGTGAGAGCATCCTGAGGTAGTGTAGATTCTAAATTATTAAAATCGTGAATGGGGAGGGTGTAGCAAGAGGGGGAAATCTGGTAAAGAACTTCATCACCCAAGTTACTCAGGTGAGCGATGTGGCCCATGGGCCTCTTGTTTGTAGTTTGTATCTGTCTAAAGGTGAGGGAATGAGATGAACGGGTAGTCCTACTTGGGGGAATAAACTGAACCGAGGGGATGGCTACTAGTCCATGTACGATCTTGTACATAAGTACAAGCCTTGCATCCGCCCTCCTTTGTTGTAAGCTTCGCCAACCTAATGTTTGTAGCATATCTGAGACACTTGATGTTCCTAAAATCCGACATCACCCACCTTGCAGCTCTGCGCTGTACAGCGTCAACTTGGTTAATAAGTGTAACAAGATGAGGGTCCCAAACGCTGGCAGCATACTCAAGCTGTGGACATACCACTGCTTTGTGTGCTGCTGACCGAAGCTGCTGGTTCCTGGTCGGTATATTTCTGCGTAAGAAGCCAAGGAAGCTGTTGGCTTTATTTGTAACCCGACTGATGTGCTGACTCCAATTCAAGTCATCCGATTTATCGATACCCAGATACCGAGCTGATGAGATAGTCTCTAATACCTGACCATGAAATATATAGTTGGTACAAATGGGGTATCTGGATGTCGTTACATGGATTACCTGACACTTACTTGGGTTAAATTCCATGTCCCACAAGGTCTCCCAGTTCTATAGTTGCTTAAGGTCCTCTTGGAGCATTGACTGACATCCCTGTCCATCCATAGTAATATAGATGACAGTGTCATCTGCAAAGAGTCTGACCTGTGACTTCACATGCTCCGGCAAATCGTTTATATAAGCGAGGAAGAGGATGGGGCCAAGGACAGAGCCCTGAGGGACCCCAGATGTAACGGGGATGGATGTGGAGAACTCACCATCTACTACTGCCCTCTGGGAACGGTTGCTGCGGAACCCCTTGATCCATACTAGATTTCGGCCTCGAACACCATACTCATGTAGTTTAGAAAGTAGTTTGTTGTGTGAGACCTAGTCAAAAGCTTTGCTGAAATCTAACAGGATCAAGTCGGTTTGCTTACCGTGTTGAATATTACATGCAAGTTCATCGACCAGCATCACCAGCTGGGTTTCGCAGCTCCGTCGCTCCCTTAATCCATGTTGGAGGTCATATAAGATGTTATTTTGTGTAAAATGGCTTACCAAGTTTGATGTTATAATATGCTCCATAGTTTTGCACAGTATGCAGGTAAGGGATATAGGTCTGTAATTTGCTGGGTTTGATCTGTCCCCCTTCTTAAATAGTGGACTAACATTAGCGGTGCACCACTCTCTGGGTAATGTACCTGTGTCATAGGAGAGCTGAAAGAGGGTTTGGAATATTGGGCTTACCTCTTGGTGCAGTTCTTTTAGTAAGATGGGTGGAATCTGATCAGGGCCAGTCGCTTTGTATTTAGTTTTTCAGCAATTTTTCTATACCCTCTTTGGTTACCTTGATTTCCGGCATGTGACTTCTTGGAGGGGAGGGTTGGTCAGTAAAAGAGGTAGACTCGGCTGGGTGGGTGGTACTGATATGTTGTTTACTCACCTTCATGTTACATAGCTGAGAGAGGGAAAGGGGAGATTTGGGGCTGAAAACCAACTGAAATTGTCGGTTTAAATGTCAGCTTTCTCAACCGGCTCTGATTTGGTGACACACCACATGAGTCCCTCTTAGCGTGTTTCAGGAAGGTGAAAAGCTTCTTGAGGGCATAGGTTTGTTTGGGATTTATTTCTGACTCAGAGACCTGTTTCTCCAGGATACCAAGGATGTTGTTCACATATCTATGATATGAAAGTCTTATTTGTTGTTGGACTAGATGTTTAGTACTTTTATAATGGTGTTTATCCTCTGGTCTTTTTGTTCTTCTCTGTCTGTAAAGAGTTTATCACGTTTTCTAATTAAGCGTTTGATGTGAATATCAACCCAGGGTAGCTTGTTCTTTCCTCTGGTCCTTACAGGTGGTACAAAAGTTGACAAACCCTCTGAGATTTTTTGTTTGAATTCATTCCATAGATAATCAGCATTTTTATGTGTATGTACATTCATGAGAACTTGATCCTTATACTGAGCAATATGATGTCTAAACCCATCCCAGTCTGCTTTTTGTACAGGTGGACATTTCTAGGCTTGATTTTGCTTAC